CTTGAAAATTTGTTTAGGAGCAATGTTTTATAAAGGGTTTAATTGGGTTCAGAAGGAAGGGGGGGGGAGTGCAGGTGGACAGGGTTCAGAAGGAATTCAAACCCTCATTAATTGGGTTTCCAATTTAAAAATTTAGGGCCCAAAAAAAAAACATTATAGAGGTACCATTTTTCAAACAGGGGGGGTCTGAATAATTTAGCATTATAGAAGTCCCCTTTACTAATCGTGATCCAACATTACATTTGGGGGAAAACAGGTGATAGTGATAGTGATATAGGAATGTTGGAGCATTTGAAGACATCAAATATCATCAAATTGTAAAGAGTCACGGTGCAATAGAATTTGCTGCATGGCGGCAGTTGAATGTGTTGTACACTAGCTTAAATGGTTTGGTGGCACAGCCTTCCAGGGCTGCGAAGCTGCTACGCCTTGGGACCAACAGCTCTTTTGGTTAGCCAAAGTGCGCCAGGCCAAAGCATTAGACCTGCTAAGACAAGTGAGTGGTTAGTGACAAGGGGTTCTCTACTAAACCATGTATACAGCGGCAGGGGATCCAGCAGGACACACGCACCGTTTGTGTCGGTCAAAGAGTAGCTGGCGTGCTGGCGTCCACCGGCCAAAGAGTAGCAGCTGGATGCTTAAGGAATACCAAGAGAGGTAGCCAGTGACCTGAACTCGGACCTTGGGGTACCGAACTGGGATAGTCTAGTCTATCTCTGGGTTCTTAAACCTCTTAAGGAATAGGTTCTGCCATGTTCTTATTTGAAGTTTCTCGAAGTTCCTTTTGATGAAGTCAAAGCTGGAGGAGCTTTGCCACACCAGGAAGAACCCATGGACCCTCCCTTAGGCCCTCCTTAAGCTCAAGTTTGAGAGTTTTGGAATGAACTGAGTCTACTAGTACTGACAAAGATGCACAAAACTAGGTGTCTTTTTTTTCAGTTATGGACAGTTGCTTCATTAAGCTATAACAACATATGTCTTATGTTTGTTGCCAACCAATCACTGAGTTTAAAGGTATTTGAAAGCACCCAATGTTGTCACCCTCCAGAAAGCATCCATGTTGCTCCACCCTTCCTGGGATTTTCCGGCATGTGCGGGAGGAGAGGTCCCAGTTGAGCGCCAGCCTGGCGAGGGCACAGGAGCGCTTGGTCGAGCTACAGGAACGTTGTCAGGTGCGAGAAGCTGGACTGTTGGGCGTTTCATGGTCTCCCTGATTCTTCAAATTGACTCAACTTGATCCCCTGCTATGAGATCACTTAGGCTTTTAAACGGTTATATATATATATATATATACTTGGGGACTCCAAACCAGGTCTGAAGAAGCTGAAGAAGCTCCAAAATGCAAATTGAAGATGTTCTCAACGTTAAAAAGGATCCGGTGGAGAGTAAGGATTCGCTCTGGGACGCAGCCCATGTCTCCAGCCCATGGGGCCGGTCAACATCTTCCGGTTCCGGCTGTTTGGCCCTGTGCGCCCGGTGCGGGGCGATTCGATGGGAGAACTAGAGTGAGACGACCGAATCCTGCACCATGTGGAAAAGCTGTGGAGATTGGAGTTGTTTTGAAGTGATTTTTGTCATTGAGCCATGTCCAGCATTCATGTCAGTGTTCGGCCACTCTGTGTTTGCTGTCCAGCATGAGTGGGATTCTTGCAGTCCGTCCTGACATACCCCAAAACTCAGCCAAGAAGGTGCTATAGTGGATCGCTTAGCTATCGGTGTATTCCAGGTTCGAAAGTCGGAAGCTGCTTTTCATCCCGGTCGAACAGAGTACCCGCTTTTCTCTCTTCCGTTCGACCATGTTGTCAGAGTTCGGTTGACCTGGTGTACTCTAAAAATATAGTATATCTTAAAAACACACACACACACTAGTAGCTTCGAGTCATTACTACAAATGCAAGGAACTACTGGTACTAGTAGTTTCTTGCTCCGTTCGTAGCGATGCCCTTTTGGTACGTTCGTAGCGTCGTCGTCGTCTTGTTACGACGGTTCTTTGGTTTTGATCAAGCCATGGTGTTCTGCCCAGGGATCTCAGGGGCTCCCGTGGCATTTCGGAGGGAACCAGAGGTGCTGCGGGCGTTCTTCCGGCCTTGTCGAGGTGCTGCGGGGGAAGAAGCAACGCCTGGAGCAGCGGAAGAAGGACTTGGAAGAGGTGCCACCAGAGGGGGGGGCTGAACTTGTGGAGATTTGGCGAGACTTGCAGACTGACTGCTATATGATGTGTCTTTTTGTTTGTTGTGTGTGTTTTACAAGGGGTTGGTTGTGATGGGTGTGGTTCGCTTGCGTCTCAGAGTTGCATGTCAAACTGTCCGTGTGACAATGCGCCTCCATGACCTTTTCTGTTAGACTCATGCCCCTGACAGCTTGTTTTGTGGGCAGTTTCAGTTTAGACACCATACATGCCAGACGGGACTCAGCTCTTCAGTTTGGCCAACCAGTTTGGCCCAGAGACCTTTGGTGCTCCCAGCCCATTTCCTTTTCGGAAGAACGCCCGACTAAAGCTCCGCGGAGTTGGGCGGAGCAGGTTCTGCTTTCACTCAGAGTGCATGAACCAAGGCACAAGATCGTTCAAGAGCTTGGTTCCGGGCCTGGATTCAATCGGTTCAATCTACTACGATTTCGACCCAGCGTTTGACCACACCCGCGTGAGAGAAGCCGCTGCTCAAAGTGACAGACTTCAGCCGGTGCTAGCTGCTAGCTGGATATAGGGTTCATCAGAAGGTCTTAAAGTTTAAAGGTCCGATCTACTTCATTGATCTTTTCCATCCAATCCTACCCTACTAACCATCATTGGACTCACCCACTTCTGGAGGGTTTTGACCCTGCATAACAAGCAGGGCTTTGGACCCTCAAAACACCTTTGAGAGTCCTTGATTCTTATAGTTTTCATAAATAGAACTATATACATTGTCCTCCATGTTCTTGTCCATCCTTCTCACTCTTCCGTCGCCCCTTACCAGGAGGTGCAAAGAAACCAAGCGGCGAAGACTGAGCACGAAGCCAAAGTTGCTTCGGAAGAGGAGACCCAACCAGACCCCCCCTCGTCATTGGGACAGCGGAGGGATGCAGAGAGCCATTTGGACACCTCCAAACCCACCTCAAACACCTTTTTGGAAGGTATTTGGAACCCTAAGGAAGGAGAAAGCGGGCTCCAACGGTGATGGGCTGGTGACGGTTTTGGTGGGCTTGTTGAAGCAGGTGGCTTTCGCTTGGGATGTGTGCCACGGCAGTGTTTGTCGTGGATTTGGAAGCCTTAAAGCAGAGAAGCGGTAAATATCGACGATCCATGGTGGTGCATGTCTATGGCGGTTGTTGGTGGTGAATAGGTCGTATTTATACTTACATGCATCCTTTGGGCATGTATCAGAATTAACATGAATTAACTAGTATAATGATATAAATGCTTAAGTCTAATGGCATGTTGGAAGGACAAAAAGAACAAGTATAGCTGCACACAACAGCCACCTGGGTCGAGACATGTGGTCATCGCGTGGGCCCGACGGTGGGAAGCTCCAATCACCCATCGACACGACCTAGATGGGATGTTGACCAATTACAACCACATGGCCAGCACAACAGGGGGTGGCTGTATTTGACCAAAAACCATCAAGCATCCACCCTACACCTCCAAGTACCTCCTGAGAAGGTATTTGAACCCTCCTGGCACCCACCCCAAACACCTTCTGAGAAGGTACTTGGAGGCCAAACGGCCATTGATGTTTTTTTTTGATTTTGCATTGCATATTTACCGTTGTACGGGTCAATGGTTCAAACATCCAGTCCCATGAGTCGTGTTTGAACCAAAACAGGACTCATGGCATGCCTTGCTGTTTGACGTGAATGCAACACATGTAGGACTGTAGGGTTGAATCGACGATTTACTTGTAATTATACTGTATGCGAAGGAGTGTATGATCCAGCAAAAAAAAGAATCCTACACGTCTCAAACACTTACTTAAACAAACAACAACAACAACAACAACAACAACAACAACAACAACAACAACAACAACAACAACAACAACAACAACAACAACAACAACAACAACAACACCAGCAACAACAGCAGCAGCAGCAACAGCAACAGTCCCTTCCGAAACCTGAACTCATGAAGCAACCTCCCTCCTCGGATGGCAGGAGCATTGGACCCAGGAGCAACGTCCCTCCTTGGAGGCCGATGTCCGGGAAGCATCTGGAGTCAATGGAGTTGACATGTGAAGGTAGCATCTGGTACATGAGGACCGAGGTCACGAACAGGCGCTGGTTTGAAGTCACCTGGCCCAGGCCTGTACAGGGTCACGAACTGGAGAAGTGAGAAGTGGCTCCAGTCGTACCTTCTCAGAAGGCACCTGGACCCTCCAAACCCAACCCAAACACCTTCTGAAAAGGCACTTGGATTCCTAGGGAAATAGGGTCACGTCCCATTTTCTTGGGTACTTGAAGTCAGGTCCAGGTATATGCCAATGTCTGATAGTCCCTAAACCGATGATCCGTAGAGTTGTTTTGGGGGGCGAACCGTGCCTCCTTGAAATACCAACTGCAGTGCAACTATGTACCTTCTCTGAAGATACTATAGACTCTTAGACCCTTCAAATCTCTCAGACCCTCCATACCGCTTTGAAACTGACAGTCGAAACGCTCTATATCGTGGTTTTGAACGGGTTACAGGTCCCGATTGGGGCCCGGGGTGGCCCAGGGGTGGCCCAGGGGCCCCATGGATTCACGTGGTTCCTCTTGGAGAACTCATGGAGCGAGCCACTGGCGGACAAGATGTGTGAATCTGATGGAATTGGTTACTTTCCCATAGGGTCCAGGTTCCTCCGTACTTCGGATGGTCTTGAAGGTGAGTACGTACTTCCAGAGAATGGTCGAAGGGGGGTCAAAGGACATCCGATTCGGATGGTCCTGGAATTTTTAGGGTTTGTTAGTCATGGTCATTGACCTGTCATTCCGTGCAATCCGAAGGTTCGGAGGTCGTCTTTGGTGTCTAGATTCGGCGACGATTCGGCGACCCATTAGCATGCATTCGACTCCATCATCGAAGACATATATTGGACACTGTCCCATAGAAACGATGGACACATGTAACTAAAAGTGTTCCTGGTCGCAGGGCGGGAGCCAGAATTCTCCTTTGCTGGCCTACCATTGGCCAAGTTGTTGAGGGAAGAAGCACGAGATACACCCTGGAAAATTGACATGGAACCTGAAAATGGACCTTTGGGAGACTAGCTTCCTCCACAAACCAGTGGTTTTCAGGTGGTGAATTTTCCAGGGAATATTTTCCTTGAAAAGATGAGCAGAGGGTATGTTCCAACCCATGTTTGCCACAATCTGTGTCAAGTTGATATGTAGTTTGACGGCTCGCGATGAACCCACCGAAAAGAGATCCCGTGCATGCCAGTTGATGACGGTTCTTGATCAAGATCCTCCAACCAAAGATACAACGTCATGGCGATCTCCCCTTTCTGAGGCGCAACTGGAGCTGCTGAAGCAGCACCGGGATGCCTGGCAAGAGCTTTGCTCAAAAATGCGAAGGCAGGTTGTACAGCATGAGCACCAGCTGAAGGACTGAGCCGGGAGCCGGATATCAAGAAACCAGCGCGCCAGGGTGCACGAAGAAACGGGCGGACGCCAGGGTGCCAGGATCACAGATTTGGGAGGATTCAGGATGAAGTTCTGGATCCTACTGCGCGGTAGCTGCCCAGGCACCTCAATGAGGGAGCACCATGCGAGGCATTGTGCACACCGTACGCCTTCATAGTACCACCGGGTTTTATGGATCAGGTGATTGGAATGATGTGAAGGAATCAGTGCAATCTTTCCCCGCAGAACGCGAGTCTGTGGTGAGATCTTTATGACCCATCGACCAGACTTCTACTTGCGCACAATGATCAAGGGTGCAGCAAAGCTATGTCCCCAACCCAACAGTGCAATCCAAATCATCACCGTTTAGGATTTGGGCGGTCCCGGAAAAGCACCCTCAGTGTACCTGCGTGAACTTTGAACAGAGCCACGAACAGCTGCTTGCTAGCGGGAGCCCTTTGACCACTCAATTCAGTGGATGTTCACTTACACTTCAAACCCACCAAGCATGCATGTAACCTAACATGTCAAAAGTGCGGACAGGTCCGAGTGCATTGAGAGGGCAGTTGCTGTGGTTTAGATACTGAGATTCAGCATACGGTTCTGGGGAATCACTCGTTCCGGCGGACCAAGCGACGATTTGCGGTGGCGAGAGGAGCTTCAAGAAGAGAACGAGGCAAACTTAAGGGAGCGAGCCCTGGCAGATAGGTTCCGGGGGTCAGGGGGGATGTCTTGTTCTTTGTCACAGACACTCCAGCATGGACAATACGGCTACATTGACCCCTAACTGTTTCCCTCACCTCCAAGTACCTCCTCAGAAGGTATTTGGACCCTCCTGGCACCCACCCCAGGCACCTTCTGAGAAGGTACTTGGAGGCCTATGGTTTATAGTTTCTCATTGAGACAAATACACCCTGTGCCATTGGTTGTTCTTCTCCGGGTAACGGGCCGCAGGAACGAGCTCTTTTGGTACACGTTGAGATACTTCTGGACCCTGGAGTTTCACCGTGAACAAATGGGACGATGTTGGGAGATTGATACTTGAATCTTTCCCTAGGGATCCAAGTACCTTCTCAGAAGGTACTTGGACCCTCCAAACCTACATAAGAGTGTCTCCAATCACCGTACCTGAGAAGGTACTTGGATCCCTAGGGTTTCAACTAGGAAACTTGGGTTGATGGATCAGACCCTCTGGAGGCTTGATCACCCGCGCCCTGCGGCCGCGTGGCTTGGGGCTTGGACTCTAACCTTGCAGCTTCACCCTTTCAAGCTTAGGGGATGGATCCAGAATCTCGTTTGGGCTGGTACCGTCCTACCTTCTCAGGTATGGTATTCAGGTGCGAAGTCGACTGTCACCAGTCACAGCGTGGCGCGAGGTTGACTGGAGTTCCAGGTCCAGGGCTGGTCGATTGGAGCCGGGGATGCTTCGGCGTTCAGGGAACTCCTTCAACCCAAACTATCAGCATCTAGCACCTGTCCGACGACATCCATCAACCCAAACTCTTGGCTGTTCCGAACTGCCTGGAATGTGGTGATTATTGATCGCAACAAAAAGGAAAGCCAATGGATGCGGGAGTTCTTTGTGGTCCGTGCTAAGGAGAACGCTTGCAGGGCGAATGTCTCAATCTTCAAGAGGCTTGGAGCTGGGCGGTGTTGCATGGTTGTCCATCTCCCCGTTTCACGACGACGTCCTGAACAGCGCTCAACAAACACCGCCCACAAACCCAATTACACTTGAACTGATCATGGAAGTGGAGTGAGTGAAAACCACCCGCTTCGCTGCTTGGTATTTGGAACATGCTCATCCGAAATCGAGGGCCATGCGTTCTCCACGTAACCACCATGAGGACGTTGCAGGGAGGTCATGGAGGCCATGGCTAAGGCCATGCCGTTCAGTGCCATCCTTTGGGTTTCCAAGAGAGGTAGCCAGTGACCTGAACTAGGACCTGTCACCTGGGGTACCCAACTGGGATAGTCTATCTCTGGGTTCTTCAACCCACCTCTGTTGCTTGGTCCATGGTACCAGCGCACCGTGTCATTTTCTCGCGCCACCGGTTCAGAAAGCGGCGCGGAAAGCGGCGCGGACAGTTCCCAAGGAAACGGAACCTGGAGTCGACCCGCAACTCGCACCCTCGGAACATGGGAGCCCGTACCTGTTTTTGGTTCGGGTCAGACGCCCCATGTTCTTTACGGTGCTGGGTCAGTCGGGTCCAGGTTTTATATGCCAAATCTTGCCGCAAGTCGTCAGCCTTCCCCAGGCCTGCGAAGATGCCCAAGCCCAGTTGTCCGATGCACAGCATCAGCTCAAGGCGCGAGCTACGTGAGAAAGACTTGTGCATGTTTCGGATTGCTCGTGGAATCCGAACACCTTCCAATATCACCCAGACACGACCCATGTTTGTCATAGGACTGCCGATCAATTGACCCCCCCAATACCACTCCAACTGATCGGCAGTCCGTCCTATATGGCAGTCCCATGAGTCGTGTCTGGGGATCATGGTGCCCTTCCACGTCCACGCTCTCCCCAAACCACCGACCACCGGAGATCCACCGAAGCCGGACCGGTCAGGGGTCGAAGCGACCGGGAGGACCGGGCGGTGGACGAAAACGGAGCATTTGGGTGGAACAAATATGCAAGTCGCTGCCAGTCACATCGGTCATGTTTGGGCCAGATGGTGGAAGATGGTGGAACAGAACATCCATTTATGTCTGAAACCATGGCGTTGTCTTCCAAAGGGCCACATCGTCCACTGCTATTGGGAGACCTCTTGTAGGTCACTCTTGTAGGACACTCTTGTTGCCTGTGACGCTTGAGACAGCTGTCAAGTGCCCAACTCTCTCCCAGTGGTGGCATCCGGCTAGTTTGAAGCTGTTGCGCGGACATTTGATACTTGCCGCATGGTGACTGGCAATGGACGAGGCGACCGTGGCAAGTGACAATGACCGGGCTGAGGCATTGTTTGAGGCAATGTTGACAGTCACCATTCAGGTCTTGCTCCGGCTGTCAGATGCTGTGATGAAGGTGGCGTCTGGCGTCAGCAGAGCGCAAGGGCATGCAAGGGCTCTTGAGTGCGCATGTGACATAGTCGTTGTGTTTGGCGACCGCCTGAAAATTGTGGTATCTGACACTGGCGACATGACTCATGCCAAGTGCCTTGATCGCCTCAAGTAAGATGCCGTGCTTTGGCAGGGCAAAACGGTGACAAGAAACATGCTTGTGGCATGCGAAAGTATGACGAACTTGTCGTCACGGAACAACCTGAAAAGATGGAGGCGCGTTGGACGTATGTCCCTGGTGCACCACATGCCCTCTTCGTGGTGGAGAACGACAAGTTGCAGTGTTTGGACGACAAAACAGATGTGGACCCACGCGGCTTTATCGTTTGATTGTTGCGACCAGCAAGTTCATTGACAAGCTCCGCTTGAGTCCCAAACCATTTGTCCAAGACGCAATGGAGATGCTGCTCAGTTCATTTTTCTAGGCGTTTGAATCTGAGGCGGTGACAGCTGACTCTGTCACCACAAAATGTTTGACAGGGAAGGAGAAAACTTCTAGTAGCTGTTGTTTGGCAACAAATAGCAACATATGTTCCTACAATAAAGCCGAACACAACACTACTGATTTGATTCTATTTGGAGTGCATCGACTGTGTTGTTTTCTCTGCCTGGTCAATACTTTGGGTTAGTTTGAGTCTCGACCCAGATGGTGGGTTTGCTTCTCACTGTGGGTTACTGGGCCGGACACTGTTGCAAGCCACCTGCACCATCTACCAACGTGCCCACAATCTGTGCCCAGGAGGACACTTCCACGGTGGAGAAGATGGTGCTGGAACGAGTGGCCTTGGAGCAGACCATGGAGGACATGGGTTTTGCATTGACATCTCTGTGAACCATGTCCCAAAATATCCATGTCCTCCGTATGGGGTTTTGGTTTGTTCCTGTGAAAGTTGGTTTCCCAAATACCCACGGGAAGTGATGGCACCTTGATATGCTTTCATGGGATGAATATGGGATGAAGTCTGGTAGCTGGGCCTCAGTTGAAAGTGGATCCAAAAGAAAAGGTGCAGTGATCCCCCAAGTACACTTCTTTTGGAAAACGTATAAGTTTTGTTTTTTTAATCCTGCTAGTTGGGGAACTTTGCAATCCTTAGAATGGCTAAAATCTTTCACCTGGTTTTGGCCATCCAAAATCTACAGTTATCGAGGCCCACTGTTACTTGACTGGCGCTGTAGAGACAACTGGCATTCCAGGGTGGGAACCTTCTCATTGTTTTTTGATGAAATTTGTTGCATTTCTGCAAAGTTTGTGGGAGATGTAGTCACGTGATTATATAATATATATATTAATATATATATATAGTCGATCGTAGTCGCATCAAATTGTGATATTGTTTGTTGCCAATTCCTTCCTTCAGCACCTCCACGGGTCTAATTCCTTGACAATCCCTGTGCGGCATATTTGCCAACAGGGGTGGTCATATGGGTCTAATGTAGATATTCATTGCATACACGTCGTGTTGAAAGGATTGGATTGATGTCCTCCATCCTCACCACAGGAGCGCTCCAAACAGCATGCGCAGATGCAGCGCCTTGGCTGTTCGAAGCTTCGATGCTAAAAGGTCGTCGTAGAACGGTCTCCGGTCATGCAAGACGGTATTCAATCAGCTTATAGTGATCCCCAAATAGAAATGGTGTCCACATGTTGAGTGAGGATTGGCTGATCTACTTCTATTTGGGTGTCTATACAAGGGCCATTGAGTCCCTAGACTGGTAGAAATGTGTAATTGGCCCAGGTGCACTGGTCCACGGGTTCAGTGGGCGGATCGACGGTTAGAGAATCTGCGGATCGATGAGTCGACTGCAGCTCTTCACTTTGTACCCACCAGGATCATCCAACCAGCTGTTTCGAGATTATGTGTCTTTTCCAAGGGAATCTGCAAGCTCCAGCCGCATGTTTTCCAAGTCCATGACCCAAAAGATGTGGTGAAGTCTAGTTTGTTTTTGGAATAGTCCACAGCCCACAGCAGGAGTGGTAGCTGGGGACCCTTTTTCTTTGGTTCTACCAGCCCAGTGCATGAGCTCAGAAGTGGCTTGACGAAGTTGCTCCGTGGTTGATCAAAACCGGTGTGTCCCATGACCTGTAGAGCCGTCGGCCAAAAGAATGATAAGATGCTCACACGCCTACTAGCAGCTAACCATCATCATCCACTCTTACTGGTACCAGGATGATATACCCCAAGATTAGTACCCAAGATAAACCCTAATACTCTGTAGGTTACCAAAGAAATTCCCCATACCACGGTCGGGATCATTTGAGCTTGGCACCACATGGTCTCATGCCTCGCGGAAATTGCTGCAGGACATTGCTGCAGCAGTCCATGCACCAGCTGGAACAGTCAGCAGCAAGGCTGGGCGGCAGCTGATGCTTCATCTCTAGCAAGTGTGAGTGGAGGAGTTCTCGAAGCTCCAAGCACACGCGGAGAAGGTAGACCGTGCGTGTGATTGTCTCACCCACCCCACCTTCGAATATAGGAGGCCTTTGGAGCCCAATCACGCTTCTGAATGACGGGTTTGCCACGACCAGGTGGGACCAGGTGAGCACCTGGTTGCCCTAATGCCCTAATACTGGAGGACACTTCTTTGGAGCAATGTAGACTTAGATTGTTGATTAAACATCACTCCCTATATTGAGATGTGTTACTCTCCAGGTTGTTGATGGATCAACCGCTACTCTCCAGCTTGGGTTTGAAGGATCAAGCGTGTTTTCTGCACATCCTTTGGGGGTCCTTCCGTGGGAGCCCATCATGAATCCAGGTGCTGGTGCCTCTCTCGTATTTCCCGCCAGCCAGTGCGTGCGGAGAGAAACCAACCTGAAGCATGCGGATGGTTTTTCGGATGGTTCCCCATGGTTCCTGGCATGGAATAGAGTGAGAAATCGCTTTCCACCTCAACTGATCGGTCTATATATGCCAGTCCCAGTGCCAGCTTGTCGATATGCCAGTCAACCCCATGGAGTCGTTGGGGAGCGGCTGGTCAAGCCGTTTGGGTTGTGGCATTGGGTTCCGTCGAATCGACGTGCCGTTTTGGGAAAGATTGGGTGGTGAAGGTTGAGACGAAAGATGGGGGCCCCAAGACACGAAGCCAAGGAACTGGCATATTTTGGGGGGTTCAATGTTCTTTAGGGCTCCTGTCCCATATCCTCAGGTTCGGTGGTTAGACCCCCCTGGCACCCACCCCTGCCCAATCTGCGAAACGGAGGTGGGCCAGGAGCCGGGGTTAGTCGTAGAGATATTCCACACCAACCACCGTCGCGAACACGCCACGAGACTCGGCGCTGTGGCCCCTCTCGGCACTCGAGACGAGGACCGCGACGTCGACCGTTTGGAGCGGTGCGTGGAGCGGTGTTTGAACGCATAGGACGAGCTTCCACATGGAGCTCTTGCAGTCGGGTCACCAGGAGTGCTGATGTTTGATGTGGGACAGGGAGGACAGGGAGATCTCTTCCAGGACATCATTTGGGTGTGTGTTCTGATAGGGAGACCCCTGGCCCAAACTGGAAGGTCTCCCCATTTACAAATATATTGCCAGTGCGGGATCGGCTGTGCTTGCTGCATTGCTGTTGTGGATCTTTAGCTTGACTAAAGGGATTCCATCTTTTTCACAGTTCCTTTGGGCACAGGACGTCCGCTGGAGCCTTCAAAAGGGAGTTCTCGATGGACCGATTGAATATGATTGAATGATAGGCGCCCAGGAATTTAGTGGATCACCTGCAGAAGCTTTTGGGGTGAATTGGGAGCAGCCCACTAAGCAAGAACAGGCTTCAGGGTGCCCGTCCGTTGGTGCATTCTGCAGAATTGAAGCGCTGCAGCCAGAATTGCTCCGCTGCAGCCAGAACCTTGCCACGTGGTCTTATCGACTTCTCGTTGTGTGTCGCTGAAGTGCATTCTTTCTGTCCGGCTTGGTGCCGGTCCGACCCGAGTGAAAAGGTGAACATGCTTGGGAGCATGCTTGCACCGGTGAAGAAGGCGGACAGCCATTGAACCATGGAACCCTTCGGCTCCGCAGCGTTTCACGCCTCCGGAGGCGGGAAGATGGCCGCTCGCCACAAGCTCCATGTGTTTGAATTGGAAGACTTGGAGGTTCAGAGCCCCGACTCCCTGGGAGGAAACACCTGAATCCCAGTCGATTTTCCGAGGACCTGTCAAGAAAAAAGCAGTAGGAATGACCACCTAATGGATCCCACAATCTTTTTTCATGATCAGGAACTCTCATTTTTCAGGTCGCAGTTTGGGTCCTTGAAACATCTTGGAACTGGTGACCTCCTCACTAGGGCTCCTTTGCTTGTGGGTTTTCTTCTGAGTGCGCCCACATGCTACAGGAGCAGCTGAAACAGCATCACCAGCAGAGGCTCCTTGAGAGGAATCAGGCAGCACGGCTTCCGATGAACATCAGGATTCCGATGAGAAACCATGAAAACCATGAAGGCACCTAAGACAACAACTTACACCACTCAATGGCAAGTTGTAGTAGGGAACTATTCCACGAACACCAGGAGTGGCTATGGTCCAAAACCCTACACCTCCAAGTACCTCCTCAGAAGGTATTTGGACCCTCCAAACCCGCCCCAAACACCTTTCTCAGAAGGTACTTGGAGGCCTAGGGAAAGCCACCATGTGTTCATTGCCTTAGCTTAACAACTTCCCCTGGGTGAGATCTTGAAAGACCCACATAGGCGGACCCTCACAAATTCCGTCTCATGTTATTTATTGTGATATTCCCTAAGGTTCCAGGACCATCCAGGACCATCCTCAGGAGGTACCTGGACCCTATGGGATTGTGTGTGTTGTTTTTTTCCGAATGTTTGCAGGTTCGTCTTTTTCCGTTCGATTTCGAAGGACACCTCAACTTTCGGGTGCGAAGTGTGTTTGCCCTCTTACCCTCGTGGTCGAGCGTGGGGTCGACCGATGTTCTGGAACACCAATGGTTCCTCTCGGGCCACCAAGTTGTTTTGAAGGCTAGGGCCTTCAAGGAAGCACCAGACAGACAGAGACAGACACAGACAGACCCAGACAGACAGACATGCCATGCAAAATGCATATTAGATTGTTGCTTGGGTCCGGGTTCCTAAAAAAAGCTACAATACCAAGAATTTAATGTCAATGTGCTTGCCACTAAACAAAACATATATTCTTCAATATCCTTGTTATGCCATGGAAATACGAAACCTGTTTTTGTTTGATTAGACATTATTATCAGATTAGTTGACAAGACATTTACTGTATAGAAATATTTTTTGCAACGGGGTTTGTTAATTGTAAAACAAGTACACGCCATCATTGTTTATTGACGTTGGCCCTGATTTGGATTCAGAAAAAACACACAGACATGCTCTTGAAAGAGCTGCTGAATCAAGCTCTAGACGGGCAAACCAGCAGAGTTGGGGAAACTGATCCCAAGCAATTGGCTGCAAGAGAACTACCCCGGGCACATTGGGGGGTATCTATACTTTGTACCAGGCCCATTGCATCTCTGCAGGGGAGCCTTCCGCATCGAAGGCATTGTTCTATTCCATTGTCCAGAAATGGAAGCGCTGTCTATCGTTCAGGTCAAGATTACAGCATCCCACATGTCTTACTTGTGACGACTTGTTGGATCGAAGCTCAGACACAGCAGGTCTTTCATTGAACACGCTCGAGCTTCCGATTCACTCCTTGGTCATTTGACAATGACCTGGAAATGCAGAGAGGTGTACTGGAATGCACGTGCTCAAAGCCGCTCGCTGAGCTGTGGTCTTTTTGACACTGATCATTGATGGATATTTGACCACTCAAATCCCTCACTGCACCGATGGCCAAGAGGCCGGGCTCGGAAGGGAGGAGTTTATGACCAAGTCCAACGGCCACACAGTACTTGTATCTGCCATCATGGCCCAGGGGTACGGAACCCTCATCTTCATCGAGGAGCACACATCCGTTGGTGGAAGCTATACGTCGTCAACCAGTGTTACCACGCATGTTCCCGTGCCGCTAGGGCCATGCTCAGGGCGTTTCTCAATCGTATTCAGCTTCAGCCTCAGCTTTCTCATGGTACTTTGGATGTGGTTGTGATAGCATAAGCCCTAGGGCTCCTGTCCCATATCCTCAGGTTCGGTGGTTAGACCCCCCTGGCACCCACCCCAACCACCGGTCACCTCAGGAGGTGGGCCAGGAGCCCTAGGGAAGGAAAAAAGCGTGCAGGGAGAAAACACAATGAAAGAACTGAAGAATGGCATGTGAGGGGCTGGTGATGCTCCGCTAACTGTCTTCCTAACTGTCTTCCAAATGCGGACACTTTTCCTCATGGGCCACACTCATGAGGATTTTGGATGAGGGATCTAATGCAGTTTTATGTTCAGACTTTTAGTTAAAACATGTTTGCATAACTTGGCTACTGTACTCATTTTTAATATGTAACAGTAAATTGTACAATATTATACAACACCTATTGTGACAGAAACTTCAGCCTTGCCTCAAGATCTTCAAAGATGAGTAATGGTTAGAAAGAGGCTTCTTCAAGCAACGAGAGATTGAAAGGATCACCAATTTGCCATGATTGACGATAATACTTTTGGCTTCCATAATTGAAACTAATATTTGTGTTGCACTTGTTTGCCTTTCTCGTTGAGAACTCTTAAATGCAACCATATAATCCCCATTGGATGCATGTAGGAAACACCACACCAACTCGACCGACAGACAGGTCGCTCAACTGCAGCCAGAGCTTTTTCAGCTCGAGGACGACTCGTGGTCACTGGATTGTTGCGGGTGGCAGTGGCCCGACACATGGCCCGCTGCTCCGGCCGTGGTTCGGTGACCAAAACGGATTTTTTTTTGCGTGGTTGGGTAAGGACACACAGGTATGGCACTTTGATGTGGTGGGGGTAAGGACACGCACGAAGAAAACTTCAAGCTGCAACAACCACCAACAAAAGGACACATACTAGATCAACAAGTCAGTGGAAAAGAAAACCATTTCAAGGGTGTCAAGGGATTGAATTGGAGTCTTGGAGAGGCCTCACCATGTGGTCCTCATGTCCTTACTTTGATGAGTCGCCCGAGAAGTCGTCCACCGCCGTGTTTGCGTTGAGGTTGGGGATAGCTAGTTCACACATGCTCACACTCAGAAACATGATTTTGGACACAATCTGCCTAGATGCGATCCTGAACCTTCCTAAGCGGGGGTTGGATTTCGCCCTACAGCTGGCCGCGTACACGAAACTCCAGGAGCAGTGCGACCGCTTTGAGAACCAGGTAGAGCTGCATCGTGGAGCGGGCATTGGATGTTGAGAACATTCGAGTCCAACATCATGGGTCGTTAGAACATGTTCGATAGTTAAAGTATGTTAAATTGTTATGTGAAACTTAAGACTTAGCCAGCTAGCACTGATTGATACTAGATTGCAATGTTGACGGAGGTTTGAATTGTTGGACTTGTGCACGTGGACTTCGACCAAAATAGAGGCTCGTGTGTTTTCCAGGGTAGGAATCGCATTAGCTGCCCAGCAAATGATCAGAGTTGTTCATTTCTGGGGAGCGCCGTGGTGTATCACCTCATGGCTGATGGGTATAGACGTTATAGATGTGAATTCCTGAATATAGATCAGAAGAATTTGAAGCAACAGATATCATATATCCCTTCCACATCCTTCTACGAACTGTATTGGACATCCTGCAACGAACCTGGCATCGACTTAAGACATATCAAGAAAACATGTTCTATACTGCCTTCTCCTAGGTCCTAGCAGGTCCTAGGCCTTCCCACACCATGCACAGAACAGCTTCAGTTTGGTACGTCTTTGTTGTTTCCAGCTTCAGTGTTGGCGGATGTTCGCGGAGTCGAAGAAGAGTTTTGAGTTTTTGTGAGACTCTTTAGCTGTTTTTTTCATTGGAGCGAAAAAATAAACATCTAGGACCACTGTGAAGTGCGGGGGACAAGCTGGTCATTTCGACAGATGGGTGTTTGAGATGTTTAGCAGGAAGTCTGATGTTCATACTCTGTTGCCACCAGCGCCGTTTCCACCGCCTTTGTGGGCAAGTTATGGCAAGTGTGTGTTTTGTATTCTTTTGGCATCGCCTCTTACACCAATGACTTCGTTTGTGAAGACCTCCAAGCGCCAGAGGATTTGGCAGTACCTGATGTGGCTGTGGGTCCAAACTCCCTTTCCGGAGAGCCTTCACGTATACCATATATATATATATATATGCCCAATGCCTACATTGACTCCCCAAACCATTCCAATGTATATATATATAAGCAAAAATGGACCCTGACCCATGGCTTTGGCTCATCCTTGTTTCAGTGTCACAGCCCTTCCAATGACAGTTCCAAGCTTGGGTACCTGTTGTAGAATTGCACACTCTCTTTGCTGGGAAGTCGTCTTTTGTTGATTCGGCACCACGGCGCCGTCTAGCAGCTGAGCGCAAGCGCACACGTTCACCGGCCCATGCTGCAGATTAACATGGACCCCCTAAACCACTGGCATGTGAAGGAAAATGGTCGAAACCACGGATCAACGTAATGTAGGGTCCATGTTAGTATGTAGAGTATGCATACAGTATGTGTGCTTAAAGTTGCAGCCAAACTGGTTGCCTTGATGTGTGCTTCCCCTTCTTGAAGTGATTTAAAGACCAGCTTCTTGGAGTGACCCAACTGCTGGAGGTTTTACATGGAGTGCCAAGGTCGGCATGCCGGCACCGCACACGTCCGGCCTTTGGTGACCCTCCACGCCTCCAACGCGTCCAGGTGGCCCACGCCCTCGCCCAGACGGAGGTCTTGGAGACTCAGGTGGGGAGGAGTGGAGTGAGGTGAGGGATGGCAAGTGGTGCGACCATCCTGGATTTGGTTATGTCGCTATAAAGTTGTTATGGAAGTCTTCTTGTAGCTTTCTCCTTCAATCTCAATCTCTTCAATCTCTTCTATAACAGGTTTATGTTGCAGACTCCAGACGTTGTTTTATGATTCTATGTTGTTCGAGTTGACCTTCCATCTATATGTTGATTGAAATCTGTTGAAATGTCTTTCAGGTGATTTTTCTTGACAGTCCTGGGGTCTGCGTGAAGCCCTTGGTGGGGAGGTAGCGAACGACCATCCAGCGGATGGCTCCACCCCGTCGGCCTTCTAGTGCGACCGACAGCCATACCTCTGCCTGGTGCCATGCGCATCTCAGGTGTTCTTCTCCCTAAGGTCAAGTCCCCCAAGCTGGGGATTTTTTGGCTTATTTGTTTCCCGGTTCCTGAAGCAAATCCATCGTTCTGTGTTGTTCTGTGTTCTCTCAAGTAAATCCAAGCTGCTTTGAACGACACACTACTTGGAATGCCTGATCTAGTGGATTCTATTCATAGATGTCATACGCTGCTTTGCTCATCAACAATTCACATTTGTGCAGCTGTTCGAACGTTGTCATTGCCCAACTCTACTGCTGGGAAATCTATCTCATCCTGTGGTACATCAAGTTGGATGTTCATGGAGCTCTCTTCTCAACATCGATGTTCAAAAGACTTGCATCCACCCTAGACCCTCTTTTCTTGTCTTGAACGGCTAAAGTCCTACATGTGCAATTATAGTCCCATAGGGTCCAGGTACCTCCGTACTTCGGATGGTCTTGAAGGTGAAAGTACTTCCAGAGAATGGTCGAACGGGGGGTCAAAGGACATCCGATTCGGATGGTCCTGGACCCTTAGGGATATATACAGTATCTAGTCCGGGTCATGTCAGTCAGTCTTGTGCCATTTCCTTGGGGGGTAGAGTTCATTGTACCAATGATGCCTCTAGAGTGCCTCAGTCGAGTGCCTCTTTCATCATGTTTGGTCACTTGAGGACTTCAGTGAAGCTGCTCAGTAGTTCTGGATCAACTAAGGTCAGACTTACCCGGGATCCGCAGAGCTGCACGTCTCAGCAGGTGTTCGGAGATGTAGTAGACGTCCTTCTCATCAGGTATTTGCATCCAAGTACGACCCTACATCGTTCTCGGGTTCTGGAACGTAGATTCAGGGCATTTCAGGGCATTCTTGCTTTTTCCTTGTATACATGAATGATCTCCAAACTCTCCAGACCTCTTCTACCCATATAAATGGAATGCACTCGCTTTTATATGCTTTTATGCATTCCCACCTGTCACCTGTCGTCATCACCGGCACCTCGGATCACCGGGAAGCGAAGCAGGTCACCGAGGCCACCAGGGGGAAGGTCATCGAACAGCAGAAGGAGGCCTTCGCCAGGCGACCCGCGACGGCTGCGCGGAGCCGCGGAGCCGAAGGTGGTGGTGGGGAATCCGCTTGGCTCCTCGGTTGGAAGGTGCCATGGGCCATCGCTTCTTAAGCGCCAGATAGATAATATACATAGTAGACTATATCACATGTATAGAAACTGACTGGTATAACGGTTCTCCCAAGTGTCTCATGTCATTTGCGGTGATGAACTTCATGCAGGGAGCTTCGTTGATCCATCGTTGTGGAGACTCTTGGGGCACGTGTTTACACTCAACCGTGAGAGGATGTGCGAGGTATAGTGTACGATGTATTACGTGGTTCCCTAAATAAATAGATCGTCTCATGGTTTCCAAGCCAGTTTTAGTGATCTACGAACTTCTATTTCTTTTGGGGGTCGATCTATATATTATACACTAATTATAGGTTATTTTAATTTGTTGCACATGTGTGACAAGAAAGGTGCGCACTTGCATAGCACGGCGGTGCTAGTGGAATAGCTAAAAGATATACAACTTGTTTGAGCTTGTTTCATCCTATAAGAACCCTTGTTTGTGTCCCACGGAGAGGCATGCTCCAGATTCAGCCCGGCTCTCACCCCCGCCTGCCCCTCATCCGGCGTTGAGGCAGCGCTTGGAGCAGACGCGCGCGCGGAAGGACCAGCTCGCCCAGCGACTGGATGAACGGCGACGGCCGCTGGGCAGAGCTTCCATAGAATTCGATCGAAAGAACTGCAGGAATCGACCCAGGTTTGGAGTTACTTTCTGTGCCTTGGTAGAGTTCACGTTGCAGTTGGTAGTTCAGGATGTTTGCAGGCTAGGGCGGTGAAATCACTGGAGCGCTTAAATGCTGTGCGCACTCCCAATGACCATTTGGAAGGACAAGCTTATTCGAGGTCTTTGTGATGGATAGTCAAGGCAAATCACATGTCACCAGGAGTCAACACCAGACTGCACTTGGCACTTCTTCTTCAGCGCTAAAGTGACACTCGCCGAGGCAGTGCCAGGAGGTGGAAACAGAGACCTTGAAACTGAAGGCCGGTGTGGCCGCCGAAACCCGCTGCGGTGTGTGTGGCCGCCGCAACGCGCAGGGGTCCAAGAGGGGTTGAAACTGAAGGCCTTGGGGCCTTGGGACGCAGGAGTTGCGGTCTTGATGGAGGCAAAGCATTTGGATCAGGCCATCCAAACAGAACCTTTCGGAATGGCATCCAGTGGCGCACTTACATGATGGAGCCCTGGTCCATCCTGGTCCACTGTCAACCTCCTCTGTAGATAGGTCCCGTGCAGCCCTGACCTCGGGTCTGGGTCTCGAGCCCTGCCGCCACGATCCAGGGGTAAGCTGACTTTTTGGACCCCTATCATAGTACACATGGGATGGGATGGGGTGGGATGGGCTGTTCAACCACTCTTGGTATGTTTATCATGTGTTGTTTCTCCAAAATTTGATTTAAACAAAGCACTGGTGGACGGTCATTGGAGCTCATATCACATCTTTTTGATGGTTATGGTCATGGGTGATTTGGTCAGAACCATCGCCAGTGCACCGACTCACTATTGGTCAAGTTCCTTTTATATTCAAAAGTCGACAGTGGCGTCCAGGAGGAGCATGCTCGATTGCAGCTGGGACGAGCTCGCAGAAAGGCCAAATAGCCCGAAAGAGTCAGAAAGGTCGTCCTGATCGATTGGTTTGCCGGGTGATGCTGAGACAGTTCTTTTGGATTGATCATTGATCCATTCATAAATTAATACATATTGTTTTATTGGTTTAAATGACAGAGACTGGGAAAAAAGTCATGGACGTGGGTTACCTTACCTTGGCATCGGGGAAGTTATGAGTGTCAACCCCATTGCTGCGGTTGGGGGGCTAGGTGTGCTGAGTGAGACCACGGCAAGTGGTGCCTCATCACCTGACCTTCTTTCCCCCTACATATCCCCCATGACTGAAGCATGAGATGACGATCCTTTTCTCTTATAACATGCAAATTCCAAGGGATATTTTATAAACATAAGGGCCTGTATGTTGGCAAACCATTTTGGATTACTACCTAAGATCTGGAGTATCGATTTACACAGGTCATTCAATCAATTTCAGTAACTTGGAGAGTGAATGACAGTGATAGAGGGCAGATGAACCCATAAGTAGTATTTTATAAGAATTTATTTGGCGAGGTATCGGAGGCTGGTCCTAATACGCTTTTTCATTTTATAAAGATCACGTTCTGGACTGAAGTTTGAATTGGTACGGATGTGGCATCTTACGGACATTCCCGATTCGCAAACCTATCATTACCCATGCTGGTCATTTTATACACTAGTTGTTTTTTTCATGTTATAACTATCCCCCACGTTTGATAAACACAAATTGCTTTAACAATGAAAAATCGACCCGCCTATGAACAATCAAGGGGGATCCGTACATAGGATCGGCTCTTCTTTCAACAGACAAGGCCCACCGGGGAAGAGCAGAGATGTTGCTCAAAGATAAGCGCAGTGGTCCACAGGGAAAACAAGAACTGAATTCACAGAGAGCAGCTGAATTCTCAGCCAGCTACGATCAGAAGCTGGCACGTGATGCTTAGGGGTTCAAGAGGCTGACACGAGGCCAACCAACAAGTCAGGTTACGTCACGGCTCTGCAATACAGTTGGGACAAAGGGTCTTGCTATGATTTCAGATGACCCATGCCCCGTGCTCGACCCGTGGACTTTCCGCCTCGGGGGTCCAAATTGAAGGCTATACTTGCCGTCGGCCATGGAGGAAGAGGACCCCTTCCCAAAGAGAAGGTGTGGCCACTCATGCCTTATGTGGAGCATTGTGCTTCAATCTGGACTCGTGCAGGTACTGAAGACTGATGAAGATGATGTTGAGGCGCCGGGGAAACCACTCAATTGCCCGCTGTGCCTACATCGACTGGCCAGGAAGTCTCTTCAGCCATGATGACCGCAACACCTACGGAGGTGCAGCGTATGATTTTTGAACTGTATCTGGATCACATCAACTGATCGGGACGGCAGAGCGATCCCTGAGATGGTCTTGACACCCTTGGATGAGGAGTGTTGTGTGCATGCCACCCCCCCTGTGCCACAAGTTACAGGAGACTGAGCCAGAGGACGAGTACTAAAGTTACTACAACTACTGCAACGAAAACAATGACAAGAATGTCACAGACAAACAACCAAAGACAACCAAAATGCAACCACGCAACCGCTAAACAACGCCAAGTAAGAGGAGGACAACGAGCCGGTCGCGCTGCGAGCCGGCCCAGCGGGACCCGCCTGCAAACTCGACGCAGGTTCGCCGCCCTCGCGTCGCGCTGCTGCTGCTGCTGCTGCTTCAGGACCTGCATTCTACAGAGCCCTTGGATGAGGCCATGTTTAATGATAATGCTTTGCTACGTCCTTCAGAAACCTTGGCAGGGGTATATCAAAAAAACTTATCATGGTGGAGGTCTCTAGATTATATATATCAAACATAAATTTGTGTTGTTTCCTGTTGTGCGGTGGGAAATATGTTCAACATATAATATTAATTGATTACATTCAAGGAAAAGGCCGACTGTCCGGCTGAAAGTAGCGCATATTGGATGCTCGACCGCAAAGGTATCTGACAGTCTATACCCATGCTTCAAGCTATCGTCCGTGTTGTAGTGCACACATGTAGTTGGATTAAAACATTTGCCATATATACCTTTTCGCTTCAGGGTGTGCAGGAAGAAGCCCAACCAAGCTTTGCGATTGTTGCAATCCACTTCTATTTTCGTTTCCTTTGCTTGTCAAAATGAGCCAGTGGCCAAAGCTGCGTGTGCTTGCAGTGGACGAAAGCAACGAAACTGGAAAACTACAAGTTGTGCCATTGTTGCGTGCCCGGTGGGCATGTGAGAAAGCGCTGGACGCTTTACGCAAGAAACCCATGCGCTTGGGGATCGATGTCTTGGGCGCATTAGCATGTCCGTTGGATCGCATTGAGCAGGAAATGTGGCGGCTCCACTGTGCTATGACATGCAGTGGCGCGAGTGTGAAGGAGTTGCAATGCCTGCGCCGCTTGGCGCGGCGTTACCACGTGCAGGTTTCAGGTGTGGGGAAGCACTTGAACCTGCGCTTATTTCCTGAAGCACACACGCGCGTCTTCGGATTCTTGTGGTGAGCCTAGTGCCTTGTGAAGGCCTCCAAGAAATGGCCTATTTCAAGTGATGCAATGCATGTTGTTTGAAAATTGAAAGCAATTGAAAGTAATCACTTGGTGATGTCCAAGCCTACCTCACTATAGTAGCTATGGAAAGTGGAGTTGGTGTTACTCAATAGTCGCGAATGTTTATTGACTAGCTTAGGACTGACTTAGAAATTTCCTGTATTCATCCCCTTCTACCTATGTGCTCCTCGGCCCGTATGGGGTGTGGGGGGGATTTCTGTTAGTGTTTAAGAATCAAACTCAGCTTGGTGATGTGTTTCTTGGTTCTGTCGCCGCCAGTAGTTGATTCAAATTATGAGCTGTTCCATTGTTTCATTGCGCTTGTGTTTGTTTGTCATGGCATTGGCTTTGTGCACTGCTGATCTGCATACACTGCAGATGTCGACGGCGAATGCATATGTGATGTGCGCTCAGTCTTGGAGTTTGGAATTGAATCCGGCGACCGATTTTATGATCGTGAAATTGACCGCGTGCTGATCACGCAAGTAGAGTGCGGGACGGTGCTGATGCTCTGGGCCTTTCGTGCGCCCGTTAAAGCGGAGTGGTTGATGGCACCCTTCGCGCGCCTACGAGGTGTGGCGGTGGAGGCGTGGCCTCACGATGTGGAGAGCTGCGCCAGCTGGCGGCTGGGGGAAGTCCATCGCACTCCAAGCGGCTGCGTAAAGGAAGATGTGTTCAGCGTATAGCCATTGCCAACCACAGGAGATTAAAAAAAGGCCAAAAATCTGGCCATGTAGCAAGTATGAAAGTCGTGGGAACATATTGTCGATATCGTGTGGTAAGCCGGTGAGCTGGATGATTTTCAACTCATAGCCACCCCCCAAGATATGGCTCAATAGTAAAAAACAAACGTATTGTGATCGAGGGTGGAAAGCCGTTGAATGAAATCGTTCGGGGATGTCAAACCTACCACACTAGCTCAAGAAACAAGTCATTAATTAGGTTGTTCTGATAACTTGGGGTCGACTTAGAAGAAATTATAGCTTGTCCTCTGCACGTGGTTCATAAAGTGGTTTAGGAGTTAAACAGGTTGGATGTGTCTCGCAGCCGTGTGAGTTTTCCTTTTTTGTTTCTGCTGGATCGAGAACGTGGACAACTGGACAACCTGCCGCCGTTATCCAAAAAAGCCGCGCGATAAAGTCAACTTGTTGCTTCCGAGCTCACGTGTTTGATTGTTTTGCTGTAGACAGGAGCCACTCGTACTGGTGCCATCGCTTGCTGGAGGTGTGGCTGAAGTGTGTGAACATCACAGCTGAAAGCGAGTTGCATGCGTGTTGTCCTCTTTGCCTGGGACGCTTGTGTGCCATGCATCTGAACGCCAGTCGTTGTCATGAGCATGGCGGCAACCAGCAATCTTGCCATTAATGTGCAACGCAAAGCAGCCACCGCCGCTCCCACCTGCGATGCGCGAGGTGGCAGAAGTTGCGTGTGAAACACAAGTGGATGATGATGGTGGAGAGAGTGTCACCTTCCCGGCAAACAGTTCGACGGCGGGAGAAGCGGTCGTGCCTGGAGAGATAGATACAAGCACGGTCAAGGAAGATGCTAGCAAGGTGAAATGTAAAACGCGCGTGCGGCATCACACCCTTCGCTTGGGCCTGACTGCTGCGCGCTACGCAAGGCTTGGAAAGCCACGGCCACCTTTTGAGATGACCATTGATGCCCTTGGTCGCTGGAAAGACAAGGAGCAACAAAGTCGTGTGTTCAGGTGTGGTAAAGTGCATCGCCCCGGACGTGGTGAACATGGTGGTCGCAGCGCTCGAGTTGCACAAGGGCCCGATGACTTGCGCTGTCGTGGCAAACCCCAGCCAACAGCGCTGGTTTGACCGAAGCGGACTTTTTGTATGGCTTTGAGCTGGAGAAACAGGCTGTTGACTGGCTTTCGACTTTCTTGGCGTGTCAGCATGTCAGCATGACTTTCAGAAGGCAGACAAGGAGAATCACGTTGTAGTCAGTCATTGGATGATGGGGGCACAGCTGGACAAGAGTGGACGTGGACTACATTTCCAACTAATGACCAAAATTCGCAAGCCTTGGAGGTATCATAATTAGAAAGCATAACCCAGTTGACTATCAGGGTCCGGTGGATGACCCAAATTAAATTTGTTGTTGAGGTCCCGCCATCTCTCTTTGTGGGCTTATAGGACTAGGACTGGCCCCCGACCTGTCAGGCCTTGGTTCATGAACTTGCTCATGATGATGAGACCGTGTCCAAAAAAAGGTGAAAATGGCGCTTGCTGAGGTCTGGTAGTGCACACTGCGATCTGTGCCCGCTGCGTCAAACCTCCAAAACGAGCGCTTCGTACGAGACATCCTCTAAAAGTCAAGCGACAAGCAAGTTCGCGATTCCAGCCCCCCCACACCACACCTGCACAGGCTTACACGACAATCGCAATGTCACAGACATTCACGCCCACCAAACCTCGCAACCCCACGATTCCCTGCACCTGCCACGAGAATTACACACCCACACGCACAAAGCCCTGCACCTGCCATGAAAAGTGACGATGTCATATCTTCCTATAGCTTCAGTTTGCACCTCGCCACACGTTCGGAATGATTTCGGCATTTTCTGGACAGCATCCCTTTCCACTTCCATCCACCAAAATCACCATTTCAGCTGAGACTTTGTCGCGAAAACGCAGCTTCCAATCAAGCGGTCATCAATGTGCTCAATCAACAAGAGACTCAGAGCTCGTTCCTACCAAAAAATGTATCTCTTCTACTGCCAGATATTCAGGGGAACAACTACTCAGCAAAGCTTCACTGCAACGACCAGATTCGGCTAGTTTTGTTATGTTTTGTTGAAGTGGGACAGTGGTCGATAGACGTTGTGGCTGCACACGACGGAGGGCAGTGGACTTGATGTGTTTGCCTGTGGTTGTTCGGAAACCCGATATGCAAATTGTCGTGTCGGCTCAACTTTGGATTAGCCATACAATTACAGTTTTTTTTTCAGAACAGGACGTGCGTTTTTCGTTTTCTACTACTATCTCACTATAGGCGTTTGTTTGTGTTCAGAAGGTTTTAGCATGGCTATTCCCTTTGCATTTGCTGTGTGCTGTTTGGTTTTGACCCATGCCTAAATCAGTACTCAATAGTACAAAATCAAAACAAACATCCAAAAACAAATTATTGTCTGAAGGGCCGGTCCTGAGACATAGACATGTTTTTTGTTTCATTTGGTTACTTATTGTGTGTTTCATTTTATGTTTTTTGGTATTGGTAATGTAGGCACGGGTCAAATCCAGTGGAGTTATTCACCGTTATTTGTAAACCCAAAAACAAAAACATAAACGAAAAACACAAGTCTATGTGTGAGGACCTGCCCCTCAGACTTTGACTGCGTTGGTGATTTATGCATGGGTCAAAACCAGACAACAGATGCAAACACATAGCCATGTTACCCAACCCCCGCCGGTACCTATGTTTCAGGCACAAAACGCTGCCAGCCTTATAAACAGACAGATGTGTGAGTAGCACACACTCTATATACATACATACATACATATATATAATATATTTATATACAACATACAAATCGTTTTGCCTCAGCAGACAACAGATGACGTAAAGTCAATTGAATTTTGTGATCATAGTCTATACTCTGGATATCCAAATCTGTGTAATCTGTTCCAACCCAAAGTATGAATTTAATTCACAAAAAACATGAGAACAAAACGTTTGAATCTTTATGTCGCGCCCCTGTATTGACCTGTGAAGTGACAATAGTTTTTGACTCTATCATCTCCTTCAGATTTTTTGTTACAGATTGAGTAACGAGTTGCATTGTGGAAATCCATTTCTTGTTCATGCCGTGCCCATTTCTATATTAGTTTTCCTTTTGTCAATGATACCTTCTTTGATTTCAGTTATATAGTTGTTCCACAAACTTATCCATATAACCCTTACCCCTGTATGGGCAGGGTTTGCATGTATTATCAATTGACATCACTACATTCAGCATAGACCCACATGGTTTACGCTCCTGGTATGTCCCTTTAATACCATTGTCAGATGTAGCTGTGAAACGGTCAAAGTCTCCATATACTTCAAAGGACATTCGAGTTTTGTGTTGAACTTGGTGAATTTAATATACTCACCTTTCTTCGGTAGTTTGTATTGCTGTCCTTTTACTGCCGAAAGTCCATTTTTAGCAAAGTCTTTCTGATGACAGGATGAGCGCAATACCTGCAACTGTCCTTGGGGTTGTTGGCATTTTTTATTTGAAGATTAAGTAGCCTTGATGATTGTGTAGTGACAATTGTCATTATCATCATAAACCTTTTGTACTTCTGTTCTTGACTACTTTGTCATCATTTAATTCATTATCAGGTTCAAAGACATGTACTGAAACAAACCGTTGGTTGTTGTTTCCTGTTGGAAGATTTAAGTTCATTTATTGTCATTTAGATTATTATAGGGGAACATCGTTTCTGTATGATTCGTAGTAATTCTATCATACACTAATGGTTGAACACAGTATTTGAAACATGTGTTGTCCCCTTGCTTTTGATGTTGATACATGTCCGTTTTAGTTTTACCCATCTAATTTTTAAATAGCTCAATATATATATATAAATATACACATGTGCTCTTGTTGGGATATATTCATGAAGGTGGATTGCTAAAACTTAATATTGAAACTGTAAAACCATTTCCACTCCCAAAAGCGCCAAGCGTCGTCGCAAGCCGAACGAGGCAGTGGCGTCTCAGATTGCTGCAGCTGGAGTGGGTGCCACACGTGAGCACGAGCCAGTGACGGCCACGCGGAGTGAACCCGAGGGGTCTCGGGAGACTGGGGCGGTTTCAAGTAATGTGGAGAAGTGTTCCTTCAAGTAGGGGAACCACTGTTCCGGATTCTACTTGTATTCATTCGTGATGTGGTTCCTTCAAGTTATGTAGAGAAGATGTTCTTGTTCACGGAGGCATCCCAGATCGCACGGGTTTGATCATGTCAGTCATGGACGGAACGAACCGGGCGGAAGTGGTTCATTGAGTTCGGACCGCTGGAACTCAGAGAGAGCATCAGAGCATTTTCTCACTGCGGGAAAAACATCAACAGCCAGGTCGAACGTCACAAGAGGACGCTACGAACGTCACAAAGAGCATTTCTACGAACGGAGCAAGGACGCTACGAACGGGGCGCTCCTGGCCTTACTAGAGATCTCGAGGTCAGCCAGATCGACCGGTTTAGGCCCTTCTCGATTCCGTCCACCCGCTGGCAGTGAGGGTGCCCTCCTGATCGACTCCTCTTGGCTTTTGGGCTGGAAAGCCTCAGGGACGCACTGTAGGACTAGGGCTTTCCCAACTCCGAACGCCTGAGGCATCGCCGCAAAGTCTGGAGCTGGTCCTGGGCTCCCAGAGCAGTTTTGACAGGAATGGATAGGATTGGACAATCTGGGTGTGGCCAGAAACCACAAATACAGAGAACTTCAGATGTTTTTGTGTGTTTTTCGATATTACCTGTCCAGTTTCCACCTGTGTGTGTCCTTGGTCATGGTGTGGGTGTGCTGCACTCAAACTTCGTCCGGTTCTGAAGACGGATTTTCGCAACGTCGATGCCTTTGGGGAAACTCGTGGTACTTATATAACCAACTGGAACTAACATGGAAGTGGAACATGGCCCCTTGGAAGACCATTTTCCTCTACAAACAGGGTGTTGTCCAACTTCCGTGTTAGTCTTAGGGAGTGTATATAACCAACTGCAAGTTTGGCATGCTGGCATCCTCAACAGCTGGTGATGGATCATGCCCAAAGCTCAGGAGTACTGGGTTGTTCAGCTTTTGTTGGCAAAACATGGACAGGAATCGAAGCCATATGGTGACTATACCAGCCAGTTGTCTCATATCCGTCATGAGATTGAGAGGGTACTACTCCATGCGAAGAAGGGTACGCAACATGACCAATTGTTCATCAACGCCTTGAGAAGTGGTAGTGGCCAAACGCCCAATGAGGCCCTCACCATCGCTGGATGAGTCGACTCATCTCATCGTCTGACGTCGACTGGTGCATGGTCGATGCGGACGTGGATCGATGTCGATGCATGTGAATGTGATGTCCTTACTGCCAAGAGAAGATACGACTGGAGGCCGAACGGGTTTTCTTCAGATGGGCACTTGCGCAAACAGCGACGGGTTTTCGGCAGACTCTTTTGAAAAAAGGATTGTTTGAAAAGGGGGACTCCATGGGACTCAGATTCTATGTGACCACAAGCAAGGCTGTGAACAACTCAGATTCTATCCGTTGACTGGTGCGGTCATGACTGTTTCGGGAAGACACTCGTCCGACATGTCCAAACTTGCTGGATCTTCCAACTACTTCGAAATAGTTCGATCCGCCCCTCCAATGGATGTTCGATGCCATCACTTGCACTGGCCTAGGCCTTGTGCCGGGGCTTCTTTGTACCTGCCGGCGCACCAGGCCGTCCTGCCGGTGGTCGGTGTGAGCTCGTTCCCTGAAAGCTGAACCAATATAGATGACAAGAAGCATAGAGCTCACATGTTTGTTTCAAGAGATCACCAGCAGCTTAGCAATAGCCAGCTTGGAGGGTTCTTGGATAGTTGGTAATAATTAGTTGGTATACACACATGATCGGGAGCCATACACCATAAACATCCATAAACCATCCGAACTAGAAACTGATAGACATAGTTTGTGCACATTCCTCTCAAGGCTCCATTGGCTCAGTCTTCCCACCAAGTCCCTAGCCTTCCATTTGGACATATTCAATTGGTCACAGAGTCGGGGTGTGAGTTCGGGTTTTCTAGCCTAAAGTCCTTCTTCAAACAGTTCGGTAAAAAGAACCCGTCAAACCAATCGTGCGCTCCAACGGAAGCCGAGACGGGGCCGACTGTCTTGAGCCAACGGCCTTCGGAATCCGGACCCCGGTAGACCGAAACGCAGGAATCATTTGGACCGGCAAAAGCCTCTTTCTTTCCAATCCCAGACCATCCATGTAATTGTAAAATAGTTGATATATTTACCATCATAAACCGCATGTATGACCCCAATGTAGGTAGCATTGCATGGGTATCTATTTCATACAAGGATTGGTTGGGATTTGAAGGCCCAGATTCTTGAGGCCAGTTGAGCCTTGACATTTTAATAACTTGATCCCTGGTCCATCAGCCCTCGTGCCAAGCTTCACTCAGTCAGGACATGCAGGACAGGTCTCGCCAATGAGAGCCAGAAGAGTAGAGATGAGGCCAAGTCCGCCTCTCACACATTTGCTTGGGTGACAAAGGAAGAATTTGTCGCCTGTTTGCAGAGTGCTGGGTTTGCATCGGGCACTGCAAGATATGGTTGGGTTGGGTTTTGGTCAAGGTTGCTTTCTAGTGAATTGATTCTGGGGGATGAGGTTGTCTGTTAACAGCGTTTTAGGTCGAAAGCTCCAGAGGCTTTATGGTTTTACCCGTTCCTCGAGTGGCCGGTCCCAAGTGCGAATAATTTCATTGCCGTGATGGGATATCTCTGTTCCACAGAAGAGTCTGTCCCTGTTCCTTCAAAGCACCTGATGGCTCCTGATTCCTGGTTCAAACCTGGACCCGGCACGTCGTGAACTCGTACTGTGGCAAATTGGCACACAACCGAAACCAAGGCCCCATTTTGAGGGTCCAAGTATCAGAATCCGTTCATGCTTGAGACTGGCACCCAACTCAAGGGGGGCGCCATGAAGATATCCGGTGCCCGGCATCAAACCACCTGGGACTGGTCAAGAGCGGATGTTCAAGTGTCCTCCAAGTGGGGCTCAAGCTATCTGATTCACGTCACCCTTTCAGGGAGTGGAACTATGTGGAACTCCTGAGTGATTCCAAGGACTCATTGGGTTAGTAGGGACTCCCTGCCGTCATTTTCCCTGGTCCATCAGGCTGAACCACCATGTCATTGTTGGTCTTTGTCGCATTTAGCTTCAACTTTTTTTTCCATGAAACAACAGATGATGTGCCAAGATCTCTGTAACAAAAGGTGTAGTGGATGTGGCCATCCGGTAGATGTAGATCCCCAATAAAGCACAAGAGGACGTGGCTGGACCGCCGACCTCTACATTCCTTTGTACCTTTGCATTTTGCTCCTTTCTTTGGGACCAAGACACAGAAGTCGTGTGTTTTGTTTCGATTTGCCCATTCCCAGACAATCCTTGTATGGAATAGCTACCTACATTAGGATCATAAATGGGGTAAATGTACCTTACGTAACGTACCAATTCCCTACATGGATGGTTTGGGAATCTATTGTTCCATCGTGGTCGGAGTCCGTTGTTCTCCGTCATGCATGGTCCCTCTTTCGTGGCCACCTTGGTTGCTCAAGAATGCAGGGCTCAAGAAGTTCCATGACATTCAGAGGATGGGGTGGAAACTACACCCCGGCAATCCGCAATAACGTATACTAGTCCAAACCTCTCATTCTTCACTGATAGGTCTTTTAGGATTCCAAAGCAGATCATGCTATTTCTTCTTTCAGGGGAGACATCCACTGGGTTGAGTTAGTTCTATAAAGTGAATTGCAATGTGTATACGTACTACAAAGGTTTGTAAGGAGTGGTTCTTTTCGCACATCTCCATCATGACACCCAACCATCCAAAAAAAGGCACTCATCTCAACACCTCCCCCTTTGGAAAGGTCCAGGATGGCCAGCGGGTCTCCGACCTCCATGGCCGTCAGGATGCTGGCCAGGCTTGAGTGCTGGACACCAGCATTGGCATTGGACATCCCGACTGTTCGAGATCATTTCAACACCTTTTTCGGGAATTGGGAGCACCCAACTAAGCAGGAACATGTGCGAAAACGGATGAAATTCGAAGCTTGATTTTCCGATACAAAAACGGCTCGGTTTCGTCAGAACGTTCTGCTTTTCCTCTCGTTCATGACGCCATGCCACCTCTTCAACGAGGTGCGGTGACCGGAGACGATGCGCCCGCGATCGATGCGCGATGCGCGATGCGCTCGACCGGAGCCAACGTGGAGTTCCCAGACCAGAATGATCTGCAGCATACGCCGATGTTCATTTTTGTTTGATTCGGCACCTGAAAAGGCATTTGTTTTGGGTTGCTGAAGATCGAAGATCCAGGGTAGCAGCCGAACTGACCGTGGACGGAGGTCTCGATGTGCTGGATGGTTTGGGGTGAAATGGAGGAGTTGACGTCGTGAGGGGACACAGGAGCAGGTCGACCTCAAATTTTGACGGCCTGGACGCAACGTCTGCGACTGGAAGACTAGAAGTTATATACCAATTTGAAGGAGAATCAACACACACACACACACTTGTTGAAGAGAATTCCAGCACACCTCCGGGCTCCAACATGCACTAAGAAGTGGATCCATTGAAGATATGTATATATATATATATGGATCTGTGGGGTGTCATCATTCACCTACACTTCTGTCGGAGGAGCATTGCCACCAGTGGTGGGCTTTATCGACATGGATTGTTTCTATGTTGCGGTCGAGCTCCTTGGAAGCCAACGACGCGGACTGTCTGGATGTACCGGGACGAAAGGCTGGACTGCACCCGTCGTACTGACAAGAACATGGAGCATCATGGAACATCATGGAACTCTAACGTTATATAGATTATATAGGCCCTAAATTAGGTACTTGTGCCAGCCTGTGAATGTTCGGAGGCACGAAGGGAGAGACTCCAGGTAGTTATACTAGTATACGGGAGTACATTTGGAGGGCTGGATTTCATGCTTCGAGTGGAGTTTCTTGTGGTCACTTGTTGCCATTCACACCAGATCCAGATCCAGGTGATTCCATGTCACCAGTAGGCCGATGGTGCCTGGGCTGCCTGGGATGTTGCTTTCACCATGTTCATCACCGAATCGCTCTAACAATGGTTGATCACTCCGGGCGGCTTGTGGTTTCTGCGGTTCTGAGAGATGTGAAGGCATAGGTGAGGATGGACATGCATGGGATCATCTGACTTGTGCGACTCCATCAGGAATGAGGGTGGCTGGATGCCATCAGGAATCTCTGGGAGTTCATTCCCTTATTCCCTACGAGTCGCACCAGTCAGTGAGTCGCGTCGCATTTTTCACGCAACCCACCTTCCAAAGCCGGAGAATCGCTGTCCGGACTCGTGGTCTGTCGATATCCGCCAATGTTCCACGCCTTTATCTATTTGTATATCTTAACCCTACACCTCCAAGTACTTCCTCAGAAGGTGGGACTGGGGTGGGTGCCAGGAGGGTCCAAATACCTTCTGAGGAGGTACTTGGAGGTGTAGGGTAATTATCCATGTCCAGTAAAGTGAGCTTCCAGGATTCCACGGGGCAATGGTAGGGATGAGAAGCTCTGGACAGGGTCTGTCCATGTCTGTCCACTTGTAACAGTCAGTAAACAATTGTACACTAATTTTGAACAAAGCCATTACGTGCCTTTACTAACTATCATAATTAGCTGGTAATAGTAATAGGATAGACTCGGATAGACCCAATGAATTAGTTTCTATCAATCCCTCTCCTCAATTCCAGACATCCCAGACATCCCAACAGTTCCATGGGTCTTCCCACTTTGAGGCGAGCGCGCGACCCCCGCCTTCTGGGGAAGCCTTGCGCGGTGCGCGTCGACGCCGATGTGCGTCGTGGTTCACGGGAAGTTGCGAGGCATTGACCTGGAAACAGAGAAGGATCAATTGGATTTTTGAACTTATCATACAAGTTTCTGTTGGATTCAACATGTGCCCACTTGAACCATTACCACCTTGTCCCTACTTTGCAATTAATGTATATTTTGCGTGGTTGTGCTCATTAGGTTCAACTAATCTATAAAATAAAATTGATGTTTGTATCATCCTGTGGTAAGACTGGAAGTCTCGGCCGGTCCAGAGGTCAAAGGTCCGTACAAGTACTTCAATCATAGATTTTATGCGTGTTGCGAACGGATCTGAAAGCTACCTATGCCGACAAAAGTACGACCCACTTCCCTTGTTCCGCCATGTTCCGCCACCAAACATGTGGTCAAATGTGGTGCCTGCTTTTGAGGGAGTCATGTCCCACTCTCAGTACTGGAAGCTCCAGGTGTGACTGGACACCCGACCGTTTCGGTAGAGACCCCAAACTGGGCCTGGGAAAAGGTTAGAATGTACTTGCTCCTTGGATGTCCAGGTCCGGGGGTGTTCAATACCCCATCCACTTCCCCACGACGTGGGGAGTTCCTCGTCGCCCAGCCCAGCCCCGCGCAGGTGGTGCAGTACCCCACGGGGCAACGGGGACGTCCCGATCTGCGGCCCGAAGACGACCGGTGGAGAACCGGAGGTACTCCATGCGCGGTGACCGATGACCGGTGGAGAACGGGGGTGTCATGAGCTGTGCGTCCTGAGCTTAGACGTATGGATGACGTGTTCTGCTTTTTGGGGTTGCTATTAACCATGATCTATTTCTGAAATGCTTCACACGTATTTTTAGACGACGCTTCGTACATTGGAAGCATATTAGAAGCTTCAAGCCCTGTTTATTCCTTGTGTTAGTCATGGGCTGACCCCACGCACACTTTTAGTTGCGTCCTGACCCTTTTGCGCATCCCTCTTTGGGATGGGGGATGGACCGCCAGGGAGAGCCAGGTCAAGGGCATTTCCCGCGTGTTTTCCCGAAGGAAATGGCATGTATGTTGAATCTAACCACTGCTATACAGGCTAGACATGACTGTTACAACTGTTTGCGGTCCTTGCAGGAACTTTTCGATGGTCAAAGACCAAGAAATGGGCTGAAAGCACGAAGTTTCCAGTTTCCACGATACATTTTCCTAGAGGGAAACCTGCCGGGCAAGTGTTTAGATCCACACCTTGCCGCGCAAACATGCGCAGCTGGCATGTCTTGGTATATAAATGACCAGTCACTTGTTTCTTCTGTGTTGAGAAAGCAAATACCTAACACATCGATATCAGTTGGACAAGAATTCCTCCTGGAGATGCTGGGAGGTCCCATGGGAGGCATCATTGCGGTCTCCTACGAGGCGAGAGCCACTTGGATCTATTTAATATGTCTTTTAATAGATTCTTTACACTTGGACTTGCATTTGTTGTTGCCAACTGTTCTCATTGTTGTATGTTTTGTCATTGCAATACCATTTTATTGATCATTTGAACTACAGCACAATGATTTGAGATGATTTGAGATTGAACGTTTCAAGCAGTAACAACAAGAATGAGACTTAATGACACTTCGGAAGAGACAGTTGAATGACTGATTTGATCCCCCGAAAGTAACTAACTCTTTTTATAAATCCCACTCCAGGGTAGACATGATGCATGTTGGCCTCTCCAACCCCGATAAACAAATTGGGATCCGGCTAACCCACATCGTGTATGGCATTTTATGACGTAACATGTCTGCCAAATTGTATGGAGTATTTGCCTAATTTTGCCTACATTGCACATTGGGATGGCTTTTAGATGTTTCAAGGGATTCAAGGGTCAGAGTAAATGTTCGTTCGTCCCATGGTTTGTCAACATCGATGCAGCCTACCATTAGTCTTTCCGCAACCCACCACTAGTCTTTCCCCCAGCCCATCACTTGGACCCCGAAACCACAGTCCGAGTCCAATGACTTGCTTTCAGTCGGTGCCGCCGACTTTGGAACTTCATTCACATGATCGTCCATCATCATATTCACATGATCGGGCCATGGATCGGGCTCCCCCATCCGTACCCCAAATGCCGCCCCATTGACCCTGAAAGTCCCTGAAACCACCCCAATCCCTACAGGTCCAGGGCCATCCTCCGTTCAACTATCAACTATCCGGGTCCAGGAGGTACCTGGATGGACCCTATGAAAATGCAATACAACTGCCACATCGAAAAACAGATCCCCGGTTTTGATTGATCAGGATAATGTGTTATGTTCCCGAACTGCGTCAATCCCCAAACCTGGGACAGCTTTGGCCTCCCACCTGCTAGCGATTAATGGCCTCCAAAGCCCTAACTGCTACGTTCGTAGCTTCGTCACGTTCGTACCGTCGTAATGCCAGGAGGCGCCCCGCGACGAACTCGCGTCCGATCGCTCTGGACTCGTAGGCGATGCCCGATCGATCCATCCCTATAGGGATCCAGTCGGACGGTACGACTGGACCCTCAAAACCTACATAAGAGTGTCTCCAATCACCGTACCTGAGAAGGTACTTGGATCCCTAGGGCATCTGGTTCCTAGCCGTTCCGGATCTCTCCGAGCCGTTGGATGCACCGCACCCTCCGAGGCGCGAGGTGTCACCCGGCAGATGTCGGGCGCAGAGGCCAAGAAGGCCACAGAAGAAACGAGCAAAGTGGGGTTGGGTGAGGGGGGTGGCGAGGGTGTAGGTTTTGGATGGTATTGGTGTTACTGTTATTTTAAGAATTTATCATAAGCATACAATGCTTAATGTATAAATTAATTTAGAACAAATTATTTGTTTATGCACACACATGATGTTTGATAGGATGTCGTTTTTGGGAGTTGGTTGTTGTTGGTTTTGTTGTTTCTTGGGTCAGCTTGGTTGTTGGAATTGTTTGGTTTGTTGGTCAGCTGCTTGATTGACTGTTTTGGAAGAGAATACGTGGTTGCAACTGTTGTATGATTGCAAGCAACCATGATGACTAGCAGCAGTTTACCTTGTCTTGGCTTTGTTTAATTGCTAAGCTGCTTCTAAAAACATAAGCAAAAAGAACGCAACTCCTGCAGTCCAACAATGACTCTCAGGGGATTGGAAGCTATCAAGGCATTGAGAGGAGTCTTGAAGAGTCCACCTATCTGTTGAAGAAGGCCGACCCCTTTCAATGCGGAAGTCTGAGATTCGATGCGCACGAATCACACAGCAAAATAAGGGGCGATAGGTATCACTCAAATATCTCTGTCTTTGCAAGCTGTGGCCAGCGGTGCCATCAGACTTATGTCCATCTACTGAAGTTCCCATAGCTCCACAATTCATGTAGACTCTGGATATCTTGGATTATAATTTCAATGCCCCAAAGGGAAGAGGTCCTACAACCCAAATATAATCAAGAGATATCAAGAGTCTACATTGATTACTATGTATAAATCTGTCTCATAGCCCCACCTGTCCAAGGGTTGTCCAAGGGTCGCAAGAAAAGCTGCTCGGCACGTCCTGGTCAGCCGGCTCAGGTGTGTCCTGAGGTCATCTTGGTCCAAGTTCCCACAGTGGCCCGGCACGTCTGTGTTGGGTGCGATCCATGTGGATTTACCAAGCTTGTGGGACGGCCACTGGTGACTCATGAGATTGGAAGATTGATTGGTTTTTCGGTCCAAACCGGAGGTTTCGGTGGGAACTCGGAGATTGAAGAGATTGGATTGTGGAAGAGATTGGTGTCTTTGTGGAGTTGCTGGGGTGTTTGGTGAACTTGAGTTCGGATGACCACGTTTGTGAAGAAGAAACATCATGGGACACGTTGTGGGGTGCACAACCCGGACGATACATATAGGCTTGAAGACGTATCATGTTGGTGAATTCATAGTGAAACCCGTATCTCCGAGTCAACTATTATATGGCATTGAATTAATTGAATTGCTCAACCAAGTGAAACATCCTCCCGGCAAACCAGGCCGTCGCTAGCTGCATCTTCGTCGGTTAGAGCAGCTGAATCCCGTGGTTTCAACGCCCAGCACCAGCACCATCCTGGGTCACCGACTGCTGGTCTACACAGCTAAACCGGGCAGGAGATTGGTAGTATACATCTTGAGAAGGTTGAGAGATGGTCTTCAAGAAGGTTGTGCTATACAGGGAACACCTGCTTCGGGTCGTTTTGATGACACACCTTAATTTTTGCTTGTGTTTTTTGGTTAACTGTGAACGACTGGAAGTGAGGTATCTTTGTCCCATGTATGGCTCCCGTCCCACATCCAAAAAGATAGGGACAGACCTCGGTCGGCAATGCCCCCACCTGACGTCACCTCGCGTTGTGGTGAGCAACATGCCGTCCTGTTGCTGTTGAGGCCTTTGGCAAGGCAGACTTGCAGATCTACAAGGCCCCCCATGTTCAGAACAGGTGTGAAGGGGAACGTCTTCATCCATCTAGCTGTGTTTTTTGGGGATGAAGTATGGATCAGGGGAGGATGGAAGCCACCAACAGCCACCAGGGTGTCATGGATAAGTGTTCTGAAGATTTCTGAAGGAGGTTTTACATATTTTTGCACTGTTTCTTGATGAATAGCCAGGGTGTTGGGTGATTTTGCGCACAGATCAACGTCATTGGGGTGGATTGGTGTCTTTGAGCATCTCTATACAGATTCTCCATGCATGTGAAAGCCAAGTTGCATGGCAAAGCCCAAATGGCAAAACTACACCATCTTGAACTTGTAACCAGATGTCGGCTGATTTTGTTGCTGGGGACGGACTCGTGAACGAAAATATGTGCCTGGCCCCCAGATGTTCCTGGCCCCCAAATCCTTTGGAGACATTCGGTCCCGAATCCTTTCGAGGGGTCTGGGTTCTCAAGTCCCTAGGGAGACCAAGGGTTGTTTAATGGCGTTTGGGCAATAGTAATAGTATATAGATAGATAGATAGATAGATAGAGAGAGAGAGAGAGAGATAGAGAGAGAGACGGACAGACAGACAGACGGACAGACAGAGACAGACAGAGACAGACAGAGACAGACAGAGACAGATAGAGACAGACAGAGACAGACAGAGACAGACAGAGACAGACAGACACAGACAGACACAGACAGACACAGACAGACAGACAGACAGATAGATAGATAGATAGATAGTATATTATAGTAGTAGTAGTAGTAGTAGTAGCTGTAGTAGTAGTAGCAGTAGTAGTAGCAGCAGCAGTAGTAGTAGTGGCAGTAGTAGTAGTAGCAGTAGCAGTAGCAGTAGCAGTAGCAGTAGCAG